CTGGAGTGATCAGACGATCGCTCCAGTGTTTGTCCTCACACTGAGGATCCGGTAAGTATCAATGATATTTACCGATCCCCCGCTCTGCCACGCACACAGCCGCTGTCATCCTGAAACTGACAGGATGACAGCGGCTCCGATCTCCTCCCCGCTCGGCCATCCTGACAGCAGGCAGCGCTCCCTCCTGCGCTCCCCCCCCGTGGGGCAGACGAGGGACCGCTGTCATGTCGGTGAGGAGGAAAGAAGCTGCCCGAGGACGAGCTGTGGCGGCCGCCTGGCGCCTTTGTTGCCATGGCACCCTGTGTGGTCGCACAGCTCGCACACCCCTAAGGCCGGCCCTGCATACAGTATACTACTCAGCAGTCAAGATTACAGTGAATCTTAGTAAGGCAGAGCAGAGAACTTATTAACTTCACTGCATTTATAATCGTGGACACAATAACTATGAGATAGAAAAGTAAAAATACACTTTCTCTTCTGTTCATTGAAGGACATGGTGGAGATCTTGAATCTCTGACCAATGGGTTATATCACCACCTACAGGGGCAGGATGCTAGGCAAAAGTACAACCTAGGGTTGTGTTCCAGTGCCTCCACAGTGAAATTAGCTTTCACTGTCTACATTTTTTGTGCTGTGCAATTTTATGCAGGTAAACAATTAAAGTCCATTATCCCAACTTCATAGTAGAGGCCTTAGGGCTCTTGGGGCCTTTTTGTGGGGAGATCTGGACATCGCATGTTTCTCAGTAAAGAACACTAAATTAACAGATATGGTATCTGTTGTCTGAGTGTTTAGTTCTTTTCCAAATCAGCTAATTTGGCCTAGATTGTTCACTTCTCCTGCCTTCTCCAAACTCTTCATCCTTTTGTGAATAATCCTAAGAGGAAATGCTTTTAGGGTGAGAATCAAAAAATCCTATTTTAACTCTTTAGTAATTGATGTAATATTATTAAACAAACAATTTTCAAGCCTGTTAGTTTTAATACCAGCTAAATAAGTAATCTAATTTAACTGTGTTTACAGAAAAAAACACTGTATGAAATACTTTAGTTCATGTTCAAATTGATTTATGTTTCACACTGTACAAAAACAGTTTACTTTCTCATGGTAGACATCCAATTTTCAAAAGATCTGATGACATGTGATGTTTCATGATGTGAAAATACTAGCAAAATCAAAACATCATTTATATTCTAGAAGTATTATCTGTTCAGTGGTGAAGGAGCGAGGAACTATTTGCAATGGAGTCTTATCAAGCCTTTTTGCAGAGACTTCTATTGCCTGGGGAACGACCCCAAGTTTTCCTTATATATAATATAGTTGTCAGGAAAACTGTTTTAAAGCATATTTAAACAAAAAAATAAAAAATATTTACATATTTTTATTAAACAAGATTTATATAGCGCCAACAGTTTGCCCAGCACTTTACAAAAGAAGGGAGGCAGTACAGTTACAATACAATTCAAGGAGGATTAGTAGGGCCTGCTTCTGAGAACTTACAATATATTGCAGCTTTTTACATATTTTTATTAAACAAGATTTATATAGCGCCAACAGTTTGCCCAGCACTTTACAAACGAAGGGAGGCAGTACAGTTACAATACAATTCAAGGAGGATTAGTATGCCTGCTTCTGAGAACTTACAATATATTGCAGCTTACCAATCCTTAGATGTGGTGTCTGTATTGGGTTTCTTTTTTAGGCTTTGTTTCCATTCTTTTCATCTGGTCATCCAGCCAGTATCACACTTTCTTGGAGTGGCTCTTCTCCGTGGAGGAGTGACATCAGCAATCTGAACAATATATATTTTGGTAACCATAAAACTACATTTTAAGGTATACCTGTGTAATTAGAGAATGGAAAGTAAGGAGCACTTGGTTTTCCTTGTCACAAATTCTGCAGTGGGCAGTAAACGGGGTCAAGAAGTAGGGAAGGGAAGGTTGGTATATGCTGCTTTGTATGCTCCCTGATCTAATGCTAACCAGTTACTTTGGTCTTAAACCGACTTTGTCAAAAGAAAACGATGGTGACTGGTACTGCAGGCCTCCTCCTATATATGCTAGAAGGCTTTCTTAATAAGTTTATTTTACAGTCCCAGAACAAGCATGCTGTAAATGACTGCAAGAAAAGTGTCAGAACTACTTATCTTTGTACTTGTTCCCGGTCAGTGACTCAGACCATCAGAATGACAGCCAGCGGGCTAGCATTCTCAAAGGAGAGTTCAGTAATGCCAATTACTCCATTAATCTCTCATGACAGTGTCCCTTTAATGTGTTTTTAAAAATCTCATCTTCTCTAGACTGTACAGTGCTAATATTCATCTTCAGTACCTTGTAGTGTGGATTTCCTTATCCTAAGCACACCTTGGCTTTTGCATATTTATGTATGTACAACCTAAAGTTATCTGCAGACAAAACAAGGACCCAGACTGATATATAGGTTCTTATTATATATGCGGTAAATCAATTAACAAATTGCTCACAAATGGGTGTATATTAACCACAAAGCATACTATGTACTATATCTATTGCTCCTATTATAACACCTCATGTGTGAGACAAAAAATAGAATACATCCAATTAAGCATACGTTTACATTACAAAATGAGTTTATTTTAATATTTTTCTTTTTAAAAAAACCTCCATTCAAGTAGGGCCCTGCATTGTACAACTAATCATATATTGTAAGTATATGGATGCAATCAAATACATCATTTTCTTTACATAGCAACACATCCCAAAATGTTATGGTCCTTATTAGCAAGACCAAACCCTATTTGTAAGATGAACATGGAAGCTGATAGCAGATGTTCTATTTAGATGTGTGCAGTGAATACAATAGCTATTTAGCTGATATGTTAAAAAAAAAGCAAAAAGCTCCTAATGAGTGAGATAAATGAAATTTACATACTGCTCAATATAGTTCCATGGTATCAAATAGATATCTTATTCCTGTATGGTGTCTGTCCATTCAGTAAAACATTCATAATTCTATGATAGAGCAAGCAAGACTTTCCTAATAGTCCAAAACTCCAAGTATGCAAATCATGTGTTGCTACTGTATATCAAGTACACCATCAAGCATCAAGTCCATACATGAGGAATTGTCACATTTGGGAAATAAGCTGACCAAAATAAGGTTGTATCTTTCTAATAAGGACCATACTATTTTGGGATGTGTTGCTGTGTAAATTAAATATGTATTTTATTTGTACTTAATTGTGTCAATATACTTACAATATATGAGTGGATGTACAATGCAAGACCCTGCTTTACCAAAGGTTTTAGTTTTTTTTTAAACAGAAAACTGTTAAAATGAAGTTATTTTGTAAAATAAACTTATTATTTATTAAATGTCATATATATATTTGTTTCTCATGCATGATGTGACATAATAGCACCCATAGATATAGTATTTATAAACTAAAGGTATACTTAAATTATTACTACAATTCTCATTTTATTGTGGTACCACCATTACACCTATTACCACATCTGGATTTAGCACCTGATATACTAATGTTGGCTAAAAAACAAGACAAAACAGTGTAAAAGGCAAGATAGGTTAATTAGGGGTAAGGATTGCTACAGACAAAGATAAAAATATGCTTTCACTTCTAATTTTATTGCCAGAAGTATCCCTGAAACATGTGACATGTAAACCCTGGTGTACATGGCCCAGTGTTTGAGATGATCTCTAACAGGGTTATTCACAAAAGGGTGAAGAGGTTGGAGAAGGCAGGAGAAGTGAACAATCTAGGACAACATAGCTGAACTGGAAAGTGAGGTGAATTGGAGAATTTTTCCAGTTCAGCTATGTTGTCCTAGATTGTTCACTTCTCCGGCCTTCTCCAAACTCTTCACCCTTTTGTGAATAACCCTATAAATGTTTGTAGCTCAATCTGGATACTTTCCAATTTATCATAAAATTAATATTGGAAAAATCATGGTTTTCTATCTGCTCAGCACATTTAAAAGGTGGTACTATTTACTAATATTACAATTACATTTTGCAGGGTATTGATAAAAAAATAATGTTATAGGCAGTATGGAGGCATTTATCTAGGGTGTCTGGTTTTGTGGGGCTGGCAGCTTCTCCACAACAAAGGAATTCTATTGTCTCCTTGGTTTGTAACAGAGAAAATTTCAGAACGAATTGACACACCAAAATATAAATGTCCAAATATAGATTTTTTCCAAGGTAAGATAAAAGAAATGCATTTTGGGGGTCCAAGAAGACCCCCTTCATCTAGGCTTAAAGTTCCCAGATAAATGAACCAGCTACTAACAGAATCTGGAAAACAAAAACATATGATTTGAACTCAGTCCAGTATCTGTTATCTGCCACTTTAAGCCCTAATGAAGGAGGTGTTCTTTACAATGTTGGTGTAAGGATAAAGTCGTTTACCTTACCTTGGAATAAATCTATATCCAAATGATTAAATTGTGGTGTGGCGCTTTAATCTCATATTTTCTCATATTTACTGACATAGTGACACATAGTACTCATATAAAAAAAAAAAACACTGGTCATACAGATGGGCAATTGTCCTGTATATAAACATAGACTGTGCTATTAGTCCAGTTAATCTTATTTTATGTTCTCTAGTTACAAACTTCTGACAGTCTTCAAAGATGTCTTTCTTGAAAAAATCCCTTTTACTTCTGCTTTTCCTTGGATTGGTCTCCTTTTCTGTCTGTGAAGAAAAGTGAGTATATGGTTTGTAGTTCAAAAATGTATAGAAATGTTTCATAAAATTTGAGGACTCCCCTGAATTTCTTAGTTGTAAACCACATCAATGCAGTCAAAGCAGGAATAATAAGGACATGAATGAATGGAACAGTTCCTCCACTAGACACTAGATATCAGTTCTTCTAGGTTACAGAAAGACAATATTGCAAACTCCTTGCTGAAAACTATTTTCAGAGTTCTCTCACAAGGAGGCAGCTTGATAGCTGAGGTAGGTGACTGCTATAGCAGGCGTCACACTGGCACCTTTGCAGGGGCCTTTGATAACAGGGTTCTGGTGGCTGAAGGTAAGATCACGCCACTTGTGTGCGCAGTATCCCAGTGTCAACTGCCATAAAGTCCACTCCAGTGACTAGGGATTGAACAGAGGCTGTATGCTCTTCTGCTCACCACTGGTGGCCCACACCAGACTTAACAGTGGAGGACCCAGCACATGGTGACAGCTCACTTGTCCACTGACTTTGATGTCCAGTTCATGAACGAATCGTTCTTTTGAACCGATTCCTTTCATGAACGGGATGAAATGATTCCTCTGACTGAACTGATTTGTTTAAAACAACTCAGTGTTAAATGAATAGGAGAGCAGCATTTGTAATAAGATCCTTGAGTGAGAGAGCTCAGCTCCTGCCAGCCCCTCCCTGCAACCAATCAGAACTGAGAACCAAGAAGTCAATAGTACGCTGAGTCAAAGAATCATGAGTCTCCAGAAGAGTCACTCAGTCAAAGAATCATGAGTCTCCAGAAGAGTCACTGAGTCATACCGAGGTGATCCGGGCTGGCTGGATCAGGCATATGCGGCCCCCTATCAGGCATGTTAGCAGGGATCCCAACCTGAAAGAAGCACTTTCAGGGAGGTGTCCCTCTCATTTCCGGGAGGTGCCCCCCCCCCCC